GCCCCAACGCCTCCCTGCTGGCACACGTCCCCGTCCAGGAGGGGACACGCTGTCGGCAGCCCGGGCACAGCGATGGGACCCCTCCGGCCGCTCTCACCCCTGCAGGAGCAAAGCCTGTCCGCGGGAACGCTCCTCCTCAAAATAATAATTAAAACCCATCAGGGTGCCTGAGTTGGAGAAGGCGAATCTCCTCTCATTAATCTTCATTAGAGCGGACTTTGCCATATGCTCCTGCCCGCGGTGCCGGCGGGGGAAGAGGTGAGCCGGGAAAGGTGCTGAGCTCAGGGGAAGCGGGGCCAGGTCGGCCCCGGCCGGCGAGGAGCAGCGCCGGGCAAGGAGGCACCTGCCGGCAACTAGTCCCTATCTGGACACCCCCGGGCAAACGGGCTGCACCCCGGTATAGCCTGGGCAAAGCTGTGCCACGGTGCCCCGGTGCCAGCGCCGATGGGACCGTGATGCTCGGAGCCGGGCCCCGAGGCCGGGGGTACGCAGGCAGCATGACGGGAGGCTCGTGCTGACGGCCCGGCAGGAACTCGGCGGAAGGAAAATACCACGCGCCGTAGGATAAACAGCTCAGCCAGGGGAGGAGCGGGCAAACAGCCTCCGCCGAACGGCACGGCTCCCTGTCCTGGCAAAGCCTGGCCCCATCGCGACACTGCCAGGTCCCCATGGCCACGCTGTCCCCCTCCCTGGCTGTGCCACCGCGGGAAATGGCTCTTTGGACCAAAACTGCCCTGGTGGGAATGGGGATGGGGATGGGAATGGGGATGGGGATGGGGATGCTGCTTCACTCTCCAGACAGCGAGGTTCAGCTCCCCGAGCACCATCCGCAGCTGTATAAACAGTGTGTCTTATAAATCCCCCGTCCCTCACCCCAGCAGCCCTTTAGGAGAGGTGGAGCAGGCGGCCTGTCTGCTCCGGGGGATATAAATAACCGGGGTGTAGCGGCCCTGTTTGCGCCCGTAACCATGGCAGGGTCCGTCCCACGCCGCGCTCCTGCCCGCGCCGCAGAGGAGAGAGAAGCAGAAAAGCGCCGAGCCTTTCCCCGCGGTGAGGGAAACTGGCGCTGGACCCAGCAGCCGGCCAGCCCAG